TGGCGTTTTTGCAAATAGAGAATCCATTATGGTATTTTTGAAAGTGACACACCAAAAATAGCATTTTTGCAATTGTCCAAAAAAATTGAATTTAGAAAAACAAAATTAATTTTGCCACTAAACCACCACCACGTAATTTTAATATATTATTTTGTTCTACATTAACATTTTACTAAAACAAAAGTGAGCCAATAGTCTTGAAGAAATTATTTGTTGAATTTTAAGGAACACAAACCTACAACGTATGCTACTTGGATACGTTGCTCTTTTCAGCAGCCATTTAGACAGTAGTGTTGAAATGTTGAATGCTGATTTTACTTATAAAGATGGTAAGATACTTTTAAAAAAACCAACAAAAAAAAAAACCTGCGAACTTCATATGACAAACCAATATTGAACCATCGATCGAATTTGGATGACAAGTAGAAACCAAAGTTTTATTTTATTTTGGCAAACTTCAAGTAATAGTAACAATTAGTGTCGTGGCGTCATGACAAATCTTCCATACAAACAGTAAACGAAGGTAAATTTGTTGACTAAGAATTGGAAGTGCATGGAATTTAGACACTTGGACTAAAAAGATAAGCTTTAATTGGACCACTTTTTGTTTGGTGAATTTAACTTTCTTGACCATATATTATTCTTTATTAGCATGCGTCATCTTTATCTGATTTTAAGAGAAACGAAACTGAGAAGGAAATAAGTTATACTTATATGGTCTTGCCAATAGGCAATAGTCTATCACTTCCCTCACCAACTCTTAGTCCCTTAGTTTAATTTCCACTTCTACCGCATTCTTGTGATTGTATTGGTTTCAAGAGTAAACGTTAGTGTTTTGCTTTATAATAAAGGAAGAATAAGAATGATTTGTAACTCTAACTACTGATTAACGAATGTGTGTTGTTGAATGTTGTTCTCGTATTCTCAGAATGTTCAATAACTGTGTAATATTGTTTGAGTGTGAGAAACAATGTTCTTTTCATTCCCCTTGATTGTATCTTGTGTGTTCAATTCCAAAAAAGAGAAACGTTCTCTGAAGTTTATATGTTCCAAAATCTACTAGAATCACTTGGTACATATACACCATACACCCACCTACTACAATCCGCATTCATTACAAGAAAAAGAGTGCTGCAAGAGAGTTATCCAAAAACTTTGCTCATATATAATCGACTTCCTCTTATGTGGAAACATAGTCCTCTTATGTCAAATCATAGTCTTCACCTAACTTAGGACTTCATGTACTTGTTTGGGAAAAGAAGATGCGAGCACCACATGTACAACTTACTCTCTTCTTGGGCTTAATGAGCTTCTGATAACTTCTACTCAAGATATCTCTTTGTTGTGACATTATGAAACCTTCTGAATAGTGTTAATATCTCTCTTGGATTTAGTCTTGACTTCACACGTAAACTTCTTCTTCTTCAACTCAAAAAAAAGTTCACACGTAAAATTTGAATCTTGTCGAGCTAGAGGTTCATTTCAGGGTCGTATAGTCTCTTAGCAATTTTGTTATTCATGAGCATATATATAAGCAAAAATAACAAAAATTGATCAACTAAATGATTAGCTAGTGGCGAGACTTGGACAATTTCAAATGAGTGACC